ATCTGCTTCGCCTGCTGGACACGTTGGAATTTTGGAGATGATCCCGTGAGTATAAAGAGTCCCGGCGTCACGGGTTTCGGACACAGTTCGCATCTGATCGCAGCAGCAGTCTCAAAGTGAAAAAAAATTCTTGGGTTCGAATTTGATTTTCAAAAATGTTGTTGTGAGTTGGCAAAATTTTCATTTAGCATTCATGTTGTAAAGTTCAATGACACGGTCGACTAAGAAAAGTTGACTCTTTGAATTATTGATAATAAGAACGAAAACTTGCGGAAGATTGAAAATCGCTGAATGAATAACACGAGGCTTCTTTTTTGACTAAGTCCGGTTTTTCGGATTATTTTTACATATGAAGTTTTCGAAGAAGAAAAAAAAAGAGAAAGAAAAAAAAAAGGTAAACGAAAGTTTCCTTAGGAATAACTTTTCCTATCATGCAGGAAAAAATTAAATGAAAAACGTGCTCAAAATCCCGGAAATTTTTTTTTAATTAGATAGATAAAGTGTCTCTTTAGTACAGCAAAAGTCGGAACTCTAGGTTTCAAAAAGTAAACGATTCGTTGTTATTTTTGGAAAAAGGAATATAAACTCTTAAAGTAAAAGAAAAAAACGACACAAATCATAACGAAAAAAATTACAGCATGAAATATTTTGATGATTGTAAATTCCAAGTGTGATTCTTACCATTATAATAGTTCTACTGTAATATAAAATTAATTTCCAGGATACATTTAAATATATCTGAACGTTTAATATACGTTATATGTTTTTCGCTGGTTTTTCTTGCAAGAGAAAATTCAGTAAGGTAGATTTTTCGCAGGTGAATTATTTTCCCGATATTTCAAGATTCGTTTCGAGCTCGCCGTCACGGGTTTCACGGTCAAAGAAGTTTTAAAGCGGAGAAGAATGTAATTTCGAAATCTCATAACAAAATTTATGCAAAAGCCTTACAAAATTGTTGCTTCATCTTAACAATTGAAAAAAATAACTTATTAGCATATCTTGATTATCCCAGAAGAAATATTCCACCAGGATTGCTTAGCCCATAAATAAATCATCCGCACAAGTACTTGTCTGCCGTTAAGTCAAATCTCATATTCTCCTCATTTAGAAGGTATCATCCTCATTACAATATTCGACGCCAGGTTTTTCGAGATTTGCACGGATACTTCAACTGATTTTCAATATGAACTAAACATATAAGGAAAATTTGAAGCACTTGGAAAAATTTGAAACAAAAAATTCAAACTGAAACATTTCGAGTAAAAAATAGAGGTTCCGACTTCAATATTTCCTGAATTCATTTCGATTGCTTGCGAGGAATTCCTTTTTCAAACCCGAATAGATCATCCAACGCAAAATTAATCGATTGACCATGAGGATCCATTTTCCGAGGCCATTAAAATCCGGGGTTGGTTAAGAAATAAAAATTGGGGTCCTTTTACTAAAGAATAAAAGACGACTGTAAAGGTAAAGATAGCCTTTTCATCGTCTTGAAAAAATGGGCTCGCCTTCTTGCACGAGACTAAGTGTGATTTACCACTTTCCAAGGCCGTTTTCAGAAAAGCATAGAGATGTCACTACCGTGACAGACATTAGGTATTCCCAGTGTTCTATTTTCCAATGCTAGAAACGCTTGAAGAAACAATACACAGAAACTTGGATAGATGTCACCACTGCTTTCATCTTATTATTCACGCAGAGTCCAACTCTAATTTCACAGGTTACTAAAAGTTGAACCCCGAACCTCACTTCCTCGTGAAAAAAACCGTGCTCTAATTTTTATCGCACCTCGAAACGTTTACAAGAAAACAAAGAAATATGTCACTCACCGGAACCGTCTCAACCGTAATCCTGGGCTTATTCCTGGTCGGAGGCGCAGTTTACGGAAGAATGGCCTATCAGTTGCCCGATGGGTCAGACTTGCTCCTTGGTGCCCAGCTAAGAACCACCTTCGACTGCTCAGGTCGGATATACGGATACTACGCCGACGTGGACAACAACTGCCAGATCTTCCACGTGTGCTACCCGATTCCCGATGGCAATGGACAGGTATAAAAGAAGACAATAACTTGATTAATCATGGTCACCTTTACGTTGACCGAAACATAATCAATCACGTTCAACCAAGTTCGACTTAGCTTTGGAATTTACAGATTAGGAAAGCAAATAACTGACGTAGCCTAAAACCATTTAGTGAATTGCCCACTCCACCATCATATAATTCTCGATTTTTCCAAAATCGTTGCTCACCGAAAACGGACAAATTATTGAATGCAGTAACTCCGAATTCAGACACTCGATTCAGGCAATGGATCAGTTAAAAATTCCAATAAAATTTATTTCCTCAGGTTTAAATGTGAAGTCTGAAAACTATTTTTTCAAGTTTTTAACATATTTTTTCTTGCTGTTTACATGATCAAAACTTCAAACTCGTGGTGGCAACCAACAAATTTCATTCATCGTTGAAAGTTTGGAGAAGAAAGACAGTCAAGTAAAGATTGCCATTTTTACTCGTTCTCGCATCTTCCCCCAATTTTTATCCCTATAATTTTTGGATGATTTATTCTATGTGCAAGGTAAAAGAAACAAAAACATTCTTGAATCAATAGCACAATTGCTCATTTCTCAAATTTTTGTGTTTCTCTAAACGTCCCGAAAAGTCAAAGGAGTCGTTGACGATCGAAAATATTATTGTACGACAGGAATTCTAGCTGGCTACCTTGCTTTTTATTTTGAATGTGAAGGTCAGAAGGAACCCTGCCGAACCCAAGAGTTCCGATTCCTGGCAATTTCAGGACCAATCCTCAACGTTCATTACATCGATACGTGATATTTCTCCTCTTCCTCATATTTCAGATCATCGAAACTGCGCAGTTCAGCTTCCTGTGCCCCAACACGACCCTGTTCAGCCAAGACACATTGACCTGAAGCGTGGGCCTTAAGCGAAATGGGACGTTGGTTCGCGGCTCAAAGATCGACAGCGTAAACGCGGAATTCGGACGGATCCCAACAAGGAATTGAGGCACTTCATTTCTCATGAAATTCCCTTTTCGAAGAAAGGGCGAAAGTATTCGAGTGATACCAGAATTCCAAGAAACGATGATGGCTACAACAAAAATTTGAATACACAGTTTTTGGTACTCGCGTTCACGTTCTATTTCGGAAATAAACGACCAGGTTTCTAGGAATTTCATGCCTACAGTGTTTCTTTCCATTCTGTATTCTAAATCCGACTTGGTCTTCTCACTGTCACTGAAATTCTAGAGCGATATGCAAGCGTTTTCCTATGGAAAATCAAGCACAAGAAAAATCTGGTGTGGGTAACATTTTTTTTTAGGAATGATACGTTTTTCAAGCTGTGATATACAGCACTTCAAAAACAATCGCTTAAATGGAGAATTTGTGCACATTCTCTTTTAAAAAAAAAACAGTAACTTCAAGCATTCAAAACTATACTCGGAGCAAGGATTAAAAAATCTTTAGGATAATAAGAGCAAATTTTTTCTCATTCTTCAGCTGAATGACGATACTCAGACCTGCCTATCTTAAGGACGGATTTACAACAGGCAGAATCTCATTAAATGAAATACTTGTTTGGATAATCGTTCAAGGTCTCCGCTATACAGCCTATACTGTATATACTGTATACTGTGCATTATTATTTGAGCCTTCTCAGAAATAATTTCAATTATAATCTCAGTTCTCCTACACAGAGTGGAACAATTGAAGTTAGAGGCTATAGAACCATACAGTGTAGCTTTAGATACAACTATATACAAAATCTTAAAAAACAGTGACATATTGAAGGTTAAATCAAATAGAACTGTTTCAATATCATAGTGTGAACCTTGCATTCAAAAAGCGTTGCACATAAAGATTACTCAAAAATGTTCAACATATTTTTTACAAATTTACATTCATTTAATCATTTCCGCATTGAAATAAAATATACGCGCTCTGTATTGTACTGTACTGTTCAAGGTTAGGACAATGCATACAAAGTTCTGTTCCGTCACAATAATCTCAAAATAAATGTTTTTCTTTTTAGCATGTCCTCATTCTTGCTGAGCTGTTGCTTCGATGAAAAATACGGATTTGCTAAGGATGTACGAGCAACAAGACATAATCTGAGTACTGTAGTTGAATTAACAATGCAAAGATTTTTCATATCCGCGCAGTTTGGAATTGGTTTGACTCAGCTCATCAATTGAAATTTTTGACAAGAAAAAAGTTTAGAATACATTTTGGGATTCGTCAATAGCGTCGTGGTCAACAATTTTTTAGTTTCGTTTTCCATAATTATTTTTTCCGTGATTTTGACAGCCGAAAATTTTATCTGTCAAAGATCTGTGTCATCATTTTTCAACATTGACTTTTTGACAAAATTGAATCGGTATCCTTTTTTATACGACATGTGCATTTTTTGGCGCAAAAAACTTTGCCCATCCCTTCAAGAATTGAAAGAATGGCGAAGAACCTTGAAAACGTTCAACGATTCCAGCGTTTTCTCTGAGACCAGAAAAACAAACAAAAAAAGGTATCCTCAACCCGAAAGAAAATATGGTTCGATCCGCACTTGGCAAAAGCACATTCCCTGCTCAATAAATCTCCAACCTCGAAAGAAAATACGAAAAGCCGTCGAGTCTTGTAGGGCAACACAATGAAGCCCATCAAGTGCCGAATATCCAACGCCGAATGTGTTTCTCACACATTTCAGCCAGAAACGAATAACTCTCTACTACAAGGCCTATAAGCGGAAAACTAAACCTTCGTAACCAGTTTCTTATATTTTCTCTCACTCTCTAGCTTTTCGTTTCGTTTTCTTTTTCATTATTTGGCTTACCGCTTTTTTCATCCGGAGAAGCCGATACAATGCCGGAAAAAAATCGCGGTGAGTTTCCGAAGCTGTAGATTCCGGATCCGGCACAAAGTCGCATTCCCAGATTGCTGGTTTCCCGGGTCGGTCCTTCATTCCTTCGTGATTTCCTCTTTTTCCTTCCTGGTAAAAAGAAAAAAAACCACAGCTTCACATACCAAGGTCTCGACGGGAGAGAAAGAATTTCGGAATCGAAGTCACTTCAACTTTATCCCCCTCAACTGCCTGGACAACGAGGGTAAGTCGTTGAACGAGAAAGTCGGCTTGCTTTTTTTTCTCGCCCTGGCTTCATAAGCTTCTTGCGTTGAGTAGCCAGTTCTACTTTGAATAATCCGACGTAAGAGCCTTTAAAACCGTATCGATTTCCATTGACAAGGAAGGAGAAGCTCGAACGAAACTTGAACCTTCCGGAGCTGTTAAATGACCCAGTTAAAATTTGGAAATGGCGAATTATCATAATCACTGACGTTCAGATTAGGAAACCTTGACAGCAATAACGACACCACAAGCCAGATCGAAGATCTCCCAAATAATATGAACTTGAATTTAAAGAAATAAATTTTCTTTCAAAAAAAGCGAGGGAAAAAATCTAAGCCAAGAAAAGCAACGCCTTATTTTTACAGCGAAGGATACGATTTTAAAAGCACAGGTATATATACCACGCGTTGGGCCAGACCAACAGAAGATGATTATCTTGCGCAGCGGAAAGAATTATCAGTTTTGTACGGTACAACTAAAATGCAATTGATTTGAGGGACTCTGTATATAACTCGCATGGGATATTTTAAAAACTGTACTGTACTTTATTTGAATCTATTCTAAATTATAAATATTAATGAACAAGAAGGATATTTCAATGGCTCTGTCAGGTTCTTACAATGTTATCACCTGTTCTCTTAGTGTTTATGAATGAACAATTCTTCCAAAATAAGTCTACGGTTTGAAATCTGGGTTGAGCCTCCTCACGCCAATTGGTTTTAAAATCCATATTCCTGAATTCTCTCAGAATCAATGCATTCAAAACTTTCCTGAATCAAAGGCTTTTCATTTCGAGAATCCATATAACTTGAATTTTCTGGAGGTCATCTGGCCATTATGTTCATCAACACAGGAAATATGAAAGCAATACAAATTTATATTCCCTGATGCGCTTTGAAAGGTACGTGAAAGAAAAATTGGGTAAATGAACCCTTGACTCTAAGTTCAGCATCCTGTCTACTCATTTAAGAAGCAATTCAAGGCCCAGAATATTACCAATGACAATTTCTGGTAAATGTTCTTTCTTACCCCTACAAAAATGCTTGTTTCCAGCCAACTCGATTTTTTTTTTGCTGGTCTCTTCAAAATCGACTCAAGGCGGTTTAGCTGAGTGGTTTTCTTTAATCAACTCGGACAATTTCTTGCTCACTGTGGTACTTGAAAAGCGAAAATCGAGTAAGAATGGAAGAAACTAAGATATTAGGTGAAAATAAGTCTGCATCACCCACATAAAAAGGCAAGTAAAAGAAATATATTTTTCAGCTATAAACTTGCGTGCTATAGAAATACTTGTACGCACTCAGTCGAAGTACAGTCAAATATTTTGAAGATTTCAAAAAAAAATTCGGTTTGAGTTCCCTAGCTCTAAAAAGATAATTAAAAAACTGAAATTTTTGATGTCGTACATTTGGGCTGCGAACAAATTCATTTCAAGCTCATCGCTGTGGCAGATAAACCTAATGATCTGAGTGATGCGGTGCAATTTCAACTCCCTATATTTGATCATATCTTTTCGGTAAGCATTAATTAAATTATTTAAAAAACAGGTCAAATACAGTGCAAATATAATGCCATGAGAACTATTTTACTGTATTTCCATCTCTATTCGAATCACCTGAAAAAGAAATCATGAAACACTTGAAAAATCTACGAACGTTTCAGGTATATATTGTACATGAGTGAACTATTTTGTTCGGATTTTCCATAAAAAAAATCCAAATTTGAACTTCGTAACACAGTAAACTTACCATGGAAGCTCGACTTATTTTTCATGAAACGCTTACTACTTTAGGAATACACGCGAAGAAGAAAGTTATTTTTCTCGTAAACACAAATATCACGAGTTCTTGTACTCGGAAATACCGAGTGACCCAGCGTGCGTAAGTCCATTCCAAAATATACTGAACATCCAAGAAAAATTTTCTCTTAAACACAAATATCACGAGTACTTGTACTCGGAAATACCGAGTGACCCAGCGTGCGTAAATCCATTCCAAAAAGTAATGACCATACAAGAAAACCGGAGGGAAATACCAGAACAATTGTCCGTTCAGGTCATCGAGTCCATTCGAGAAAATTCCGCTTGAGTTGGGAAAAATATATACAGTACTGCGGTACTGTACTTGGAAGTTGAAGAATGAAATAAGGGTCGACGCCCGGAAGAAAAAACTGACTCATTATACAGGTATAATAAGCAAGAAATTCCCCGTTTTCAAGAAAGAAACCTGTAAAAAGCGTACACTGCGAAATAATTTTAATCCCGACGCATATGTCAACCGGCATGTGACTGCTTATTGACATCCGGATCATCCCGAACGCATCAGAATTTTACTCTCTCATGACTCATAAAGAAACGCATATACCCTATGCCCTGTTGGGATTCTTACAAGAGAACTGCTGAGGAAGCTCAAATATACCTTTTTTCTGCTTGTCCTATACAGGAAAAAAGAACATGTTGAGAACCTGGTCTGAGGAGCTTATAGACAATGGTGGTATCAGGAAGTCTCGCTTCCCGGTTTTACGAACTTTAATGCCTTCGAAAACGCGACTGAAAATGCTGAAAAAGTATTCAGAATTTCTAATCGCTGGTAATTCATCACTGGAAGAATATTATCAAAAATTCGTTCCAAGAAAATGAAAGTAAAAAAGAAGTACGGTGTTCTTGAAAAATTCAGAAATTATTCACAATTCCCAGTAATTATAATTCATCACTGGAATAATACTGTATAATTAAAATTCGTCCGATCGAAAGAATTAAATCTGAAGAAAACGAAGGCCACCAAAATATTTTCGAAATTTCCACGGAGATCGCTGTGGAACTAGGAATTTCGGAGCAGCATCACTAATGTGTTCAATTTGATTGAATCACAAAATGCAGAATTAATTGAGCTAATTGGACATGAATGGTCGTCGCAACGTTACCTGTGCAGTGTTA